TATACTAGCCTTGATATATGAGTTATTTAATCCTTTTTGACTTTTTATTAATTTTATTACACAATTATAGCTGATTACAACGCTAGAAAGTTTAAGTCAATGTAAATATAACCTTGTTATGTATGCATAAAAACTTATGTTATATATAAAAATCACTGTATATTCAAGAATATTAAATAAATACAGAAATAAAAAAATTATTTGAGATAACGTCTGCTGTTTTCAAACATCAGACACTAATTACATGAATATTTTTATATCAATTGTTTTCGTATTCATACGACTATTATCTGGAAAACTGAAGACGTTTTTAGATTTCATTTCATTTCTGTCTAAACCAACTAATAGTCTAATGAATAGCAAGCACAAATCCTTGACTTATATATTAAATGTCTTATTATTTACTCCATAATACACTGTAATACTAGACAATAAAATCCAAGTTTTTGTAAATAAAAATATTAAATAGAAAACAGGACTTAAAAATCACAAATAATTAGCAAGCAAAAAGGACTTGTTTAATTGTTTTTTATTTTCAATTAATTCATTCAAAATACACACAAAAACAGACTTAAAACTAATCCTTAATTCTTACTCTCCTTTGACTGCAACTCAAAGTCTTTGGGATTAAAGTCACCGAAACCCTCATCTCCGTCACCGCCCATCTCAGGCACCGGTAGTTTCTTATCCTTCATGTCAATCATCACCTCTTTCTCCTCTATGACACCCTTTCCCTCACCGACACCGACATCCCTATGGCCTCTATGCTCATCCATTTCCTCCTCCTTTTCCATCTCCTGTTTCACGCCCTCATCGACAGCCACACCCGGCATACCGTCCACGGCGGGCATATATCCGGGCATTTTGTGCTCGTATTCGACCATCGGCACGAAATCCTTGCCCTCCATATCCACACCACCCATAGGTTTATAGCCACCGACGCCGACATCCTTTTCCACCACATGAGGCTTAGGGTTAATGTCATAAATGGGCGGTTGTTTCTCAACCGTCACTTCCTTTTTCTTGTGAATCACCGGTACTTTGCGAATAATAACCGGCTGTTCGACATATACATGCTGTTTGACGTCCTTATATATGGGGGGCAGGCGTTTGATGATCGAAAACCGCTTGTATGGGTACGGGTTGTGGTGCCCATATCCAAATCCCTGTCCATATCCATATCCATATCCCTGGTCGCCATATCCCTGTCCATAAGAGTTGGGTAGATATCCACCGGAATTGTAAGACCCTATCCCTTGCTATTATACATGAATATTAATTATTATTTATCAGATTGTATTAATAATATAGTTGCTATTAATATTAGTAAATGTATATTAGGTAACAGTATAATAATTTATGATAGTGTTACAATGATAATTATACTATTATTAGTTAATAATTTACCAAGTTTTGTATCTTAGCATGCTTAGTAACATCACATTTACCTATAATAATGCATATTCTTAGAAAAGTTATCAAGTTATTTTAGGTATCACATGATGACCTCCAATAACCTCCCAAACAAATGAAACTAATAAAATGTTTTACTAAATATGGATATAAGACATAAGACATGAGGGAATGGAGTCTTATAACTGATAGGGAATACATATTGTATTATACAGCCTGTCCTACGCCTAGTTATGCCAATGAATTGTATTTCATGTCAATGAAGACTATGAAGTGTAAACACTATTTCATTATTTATATTCATATACTGTACAGTAGTGTCAATCAATAAATGTTTAATATAACATAGGTCACTTTATTATCACGAGTTTATTGTTAAAAACACAAAATAATTATTGATAACTCAGTAATTAATAAAAGTTATGTCAAACCTAAACATCAATATTTAACTTACGATACATTTGCAAAAAATAATGACTGAAATATTAGAGATAAATACATATTTCAAAGTATATATTGATTTCACGAATGCATTGTTAAAATACAGTATTTTTGGGGATATATAATATTTTTTAAACAAAAAAGATTTTTTATTTCTAAAACAATTTATTGAAAAAAGTCTTTTGTTATCAGTATTTGGTTATCTAAACGAGAAAAATCTGAAAAATCTGTTTAAACCTCCGCTTTTGCACTTAAAATGAGAAACAAATACTATATTTGTGAGAAATTGTAGACTTTTTCATAGCTAAAAGTATTTTGTATTTATTTTACTTATTATATTTAGCAAAAGTTTTCCAAAGTGTCTCAAACAAATAATTTGTGAAATTAAATACCCTTTTAAATATATTTGTCATGAATTCTGTATTATGTCTACAAAATTGTATTTAAAATTAAGTACTAGCTAAGATTTAGTAAGGTTTATGAACAGTAAAGTGCTCTCAGACCAGACACCATTCAAAATGTTTACATACAATACATGATTAATTGAAAAATATCTCATACAGTATAATGAAAAAAATTCATTTCATTTATGAATACCTTTTTAAGTCCATTGAAATACTTATTGAATCCGTACTCATAGTCTCCGTAATAAGTGGCACTAATACAACACAATAGTGTTAACGATACGAACGTCTGTAACATTACTCCCTATGTATGAGAAAAAAGTAACAAAAAATCACTTCAATAATAGATGTAATGCTATATTCAATGGTTCGTATCCTTTAGTCTAAATAAAGATTTTCTGTGTTATTGCTTATATTTGGTGTATACAGTAGTAATAAAAAAACGTATTATGCCAGCAAGCTAAGTTATTGTGAACTTAACATAAACTGACAAAACTTTTTGCTACGTTTTCACCGTAGGAAGTGCCAAATCCTGTTATCATAGCATTTGTAATATNCAGAATTTTATTTATTGTGCAGAATATATTGTGAATAACTTATTTATAATGAATTTAGTGACAAAGGTGTTTTATTTGCTAGCTACAGTTTTTAAATAATAGCAAAAAGCATAATAAATTTACTGTATTGTAAATGTATTTATCACAATACAAATTATGTATCACTTTTACCCTTTAAATGTTAGTATGCCTGTCCAATTGTGATAAAATTAAATGTAATATTTTAAAAGTTTGAACATTATTTTAGGTTGAGTGCAAAAAACGTATAAATCACTAAATGTGCAATGGAGCAAGGCAATTGATTAAAATCATTCAAACCTTTTACAACCATTTTTTACACGTTTTAACAATTTTCAACATATAAAATATTACGCTATAAAAAATGATTTGTTTGTTTTATTCGCATTTAATTGCGAAATATACATTAATAATGGACCATGATTATTAGAAATTGCAGCTAGTAAATTTTAATTTATTGATCTGTATTTAATTTATTAGCACTTTATTTAATTTAACATACAATTATGTCTAATTTCTCATTAATATATTACAAATGCTATGATAACAGGATTTGGCACTTCCTACGGTGAAAACGTAGCAAAAAGTTTTGTCAGTTTATGTTAAGTTCACAATAACTTAGCTTGCTGGCATAATACGTTTTTTTATTACTACTGTATACACCAAATATAAGCAATAACACAGAAAATCTTTATTTAGACTAAAGGATACGAACCATTGAATATAGCATTACATCTATTATTGAAGTGATTTTTTGTTACTTTTTTCTCATACATAGGGAGTAATGTTACAGACGTTCGTATCGTTAACACTATTGTGTTGTATTAGTGCCACTTATTACGGAGACTATGAGTACGGATTCAATAAGTATTTCAATGGACTTAAAAAGGTATTCATAAATGAAATGAATTTTTTTCATTATACTGTATGAGATATTTTTCAATTAATCATGTATTGTATGTAAACATTTTGAATGGTGTCTGGTCTGAGAGCACTTTACTGTTCATAAACCTTACTAAATCTTAGCTAGTACTTAATTTTAAATACAATTTTGTAGACATAATACAGAATTCATGACAAATATATTTAAAAGGGTATTTAATTTCACAAATTATTTGTTTGAGACACTTTGGAAAACTTTTGCTAAATATAATAAGTAAAATAAATACAAAATACTTTTAGCTATGAAAAAGTCTACAATTTCTCACAAATATAGTATTTGTTTCTCATTTTAAGTGCAAAAGCGGAGGTTTAAACAGATTTTTCAGATTTTTCTCGTTTAGATAACCAAATACTGATAACAAAAGACTTTTTTCAATAAATTGTTTTAGAAATAAAAAATCTTTTTTGTTTAAAAAATATTATATATCCCCAAAAATACTGTATTTTAACAATGCATTCGTGAAATCAATATATACTTTGAAATATGTATTTATCTCTAATATTTCAGTCATTATTTTTTGCAAATGTATCGTAAGTTAAATATTGATGTTTAGGTTTGACATAACTTTTATTAATTACTGAGTTATCAATAATTATTTTGTGTTTTTAACAATAAACTCGTGATAATAAAGTGACCTATGTTATATTAAACATTTATTGATTGACACTACTGTACAGTATATGAATATAAATAATGAAATAGTGTTTACACTTCATAGTCTTCATTGACATGAAATACAATTCATTGGCATAACTAGGCGTAGGACAGGCTGTATAATACAATATGTATTCCCTATCAGTTATAAGACTCCATTCCCTCATGTCTTATGTCTTATATCCATATTTAGTAAAACATTTTATTAGTTTCATTTGTTTGGGAGGTTATTGGAGGTCATCATGTGATAC